TAGATTAAGAATGGTAAGAACTAAAACACAGACGAACACAATGGCACTTATTTTATTAAACTAAATCTTAAACATTACATAAATGTTTCACATTTGCAATTGTGGCAATCTACTGAATTGCCAGCCTACGGCTGTCCTTAAACTTCCTTTTAAAAAAAATTTCAAATTTTATTACCTCTGTCAGACAAATCTTTAGAGCACTAAATGTACAGTGTCCTTAAAACTTCTGCAATGAGCTCTCATCTTCCCCATTCCCACTGTCGTTTTGATTCATAGACTGAAACAGGAATGTGAATTTTCTTGCTTTTTCAACTCCCAGATGATTTCTTAAATTTGTGTGAATAATACCAAACAATGTGACAGCATTCTCTCTGTGCCTGCAGACGAAGCTACTGCTGTGAAAAGTTGGGTTAGCAAATGAAGGAACTCTGTTTCAAGGTGCCTATCTAATTATTTCCACCAGTTCAGGGGAGTGACTTTGTTCAAAACATCATCAGTAAACGTGTACTGGTTAAATGATTTCTTTCCTTCTCTGAAATTTATTCTGACTGGCATAACTGAGCAATAATTTTGAGATGCCCATACCAGGGCAGCAGCAGCATTTTCAGAAGTTAGGCATCTACCTTTATATCTGGGGTTAAGAATGTTTGCAAGAAAGTGAGATGGAGCTAGTTTTTGATCTGTTTTCTTCTTTATTCTTCACTTTTACTTTTCTGGTGAGGTATTTCTTTCTTCAGTGTCTCTTGAAGTGACTTCCAAATTTTGACAGCATCAGCAATGCAGCAACAATTTTTCTGAAGTTGTTTAAGGCTATGGATAATAAGTTCCAGTATACTGAACATGTCCTCTACACTCCTCTTTAGTCCTATGTTAGATACTTTGGATGAGATAGTTCCATAATCCCAGTTTTCTTCACAAAGTTTTATGAGAATAGGCTAATTTTTAGTAAATTGTTCAAAATAATCAACTACAGAATTCCTTTGAACATTTTTTGGGGAAAATTAATTTGGATCCTCCTGCTCTTTTCAGTGAAGCTGAGGCAAAATGGTTGGTAGGGAAGAATTTTGTGACTACAACATTTTCTTTTATTTTGGGAGAAGACGAACTTCAGTCTTTGGTTAAAAGATGCATTAAATGGGCACTGCGGCCATGTTATTAAGGTGATGCAAATGTGCATGTGATAGTTGAATTTTCGTTCAGTTTAATACAGCTTTCATTGGCACTTTGAAATATTCTGCTGTTTGGGCATGTCCCAGTGTATCTGTTGTTTCTGAAAGATATGTAAGCCCCTGTTCTGTAATCACATAGGCACATATTACTGGATCATCAAGGGTTACACTGGCAAATTTTCCCTCAGTATTTCTTGCACACTGTTAAAGTTCCTTCTCATACACTGTATCTAGCAACTTTCCACCAATGTCTGCTATACCAGATGAGTATAGCCTGGTTCTAAGAACTCAACCTTGTCAATGAAGGTCCTTATTATAAACAAAGTAAAAAGGAGAATTTGTGGCATAAATGAACCAGGCAAATTGTTTATCTATGGTGTCCTTGCTGGTCCCTACTACAAACCCATCCACAGTGGTGGTTTTATTAGATGACTGAAATCATTTGCTACTGACACTTTGTTGCCTGAACTATGCTTAGAAGCAGTGTTGACTCTCTTTTTTTTTTTTTTTTTTAGGTAAAAAAGTCCCGTTTTGTGCAAGATCCGTATGCCTCTCCAACAAGCATACTGATCTTGGGCAACTCATTAGCATATTTTCTGCCAGAAGAACTTGCAGTGAAGACGAAGCCCTAGAGTAGACCAGGGCTTATACTTAAATGGGATCATGAAACAAAATTCAAAAATAATTTTAATAGTTCATTTCAATTCTTCTTACTTTATTATTCAGTTAATCATTTACATTTTTTTCAGCAAGGATGCAGATCTGATTCCAAATTACCAAAAAAAGTAAGACTGATTGTGCTCAGAGTGCACTTTATTTTGGAGTAAGCCCCATTGAACTCACTAGCACTTTTTTTTGTGGAGAAAAAATGTATAGGATGGGGTTCCCTTGGGAAGCTGAGTTATGCTGAAGTGAAATAAGGGGTCTGTATTATGCAATATAAAATAAGAAGTCTACACGCAGAGAGTCTTGAAGAATGATGCATTGCAAAGTGAATTATTTAAGTTACCAACCAGTTGATTCATATTGTTTGTCAGACATCTTCATCCTAATAAGCAGTTTACATCCCTAGTTGCTTACATCCCTAGTTCAGTCTCTTCTGGAAGTTTGTAATTCCACATAGTAAACTACTTGTGAACTGTCTTGATAGTCTAAATGGCTATTGGTTAACTGTATTGTTTGAAAAAGGAGATCAAACTGTCAGTTCACGTTCATCAAAGCCAACGTGGTATAGTTTCCTGTAAGTGCCAAGCTTGCTTCAACAATAAAGGAAGTTTTTGGTCTGATCTTTTTCATCTTAGATTATTTTAAATATTAATAGGAAATGTCTAAGGCTTAACACTGAAATCTCCAGGAATACCTGGAATTCTCATGGAAGAACAAACTTTATGTTGGACTGCCTGTTGGATTCTGATCTTTAGAGTTTATTCAAGAAAGACTTTTACAAACCAGCAGCCTCACTATCTCTTCTGTCTCAAGGGGTAGTCGTGTTAGTCAGTATCTGTGGGTAAAACCTATTTAATCAAATGAATTGGAAGGGGAATTACAAAGGTAGGGGTGTATTTAAGAACAACAAAAGAAGTTACTTGTCAAGAGTAGGACTGGTGTTAATGAGACTAATCAAGTCAGGGTGGATGTGTCTCATTCGCAGCATTTGATGTGGAGATGTGAATATCAAGAGAGGGGACATTGCCTATGTAGTGTGTTAACCAGTTAAGATCATTATTCAATCCTAAATTGATTGTATTGAATTTGCAAATGAATTCCAGTTTAACTTAGAGTGAACAGGACTAACTGTTTAACTGATAAGAGGATGCTTATTGGTTAATGGTGTTGGTTATACTCAGCCTCTTGGGGAGGTGGCTTCACTGTGGCAGGGCAGTGAGGCCTGCTCCCTGGGAGCTGAGGGAGAGGCAAAGGCAGCCAGCTCGCCTCCTTGGGAACTGGGGGGAGAGGCAAGGGTGGCCAGCTCTGCTCCTGGGGAGGAGGCTTCGCTACCGCAGCAAAGCCTCCTCCTTGGGAGCTAGGGTAGCAGGAGCTGGCTGCTCTGCACCCAGGGAGGGTTTGCTGTGGACTCTGCGGTATAAAGCTAAGCTTTATACTGAAGAGCCTGCAGTGAATGAACTGTGTACATGGTTACCCTATTCCACAATGTTTAACATCCCTAGTTCAGCTGTCTCCCTTTGTAATTAGGTTTTAAAGTTCTTTGTGGCTACTGTTAAATCCATTTCTAAATGGCCAGGGAGGTTAAAATGTTCCTCTATAGGTTTATGTCTGTTAACATTCCTGATGTCCATCTGTGTCCATTTATCCTTTGGCACAGAGACTATCTAGTTTGGCCAACATTAGGGATGCAAGAGTTTAACTGTTAAGCTGATGCTTATCAGTCACTGTTAATGGTTAAACTCCACTGCTGGGAATACTCTGGCAGCCGAGAGCTCTCAGACATGGGGCTGGCTGTTGGGACGCTGCCAGCAGCTGGGAACCCATGAAAGCAAGGCTGGTGGCCAGGAGCCTTGCCTCGCTGGAGGAGCTCGCTCCCCTCCACCGAAGGCGCGGCAGAGTCTGGGGGCTGCTCCAGGGTTAACCAGTTAACTTTTTAACCTGGCATTCCTAGTGTATGTATCACATTCTGTACTTTTAAGTAAATAGAACTGGAATTAATTTAACTAAGGCAGTTTTCTGAACTGAAGGGACCTTCAGGGAGTGAAACAGTCCTCTGCTGCTAGTGGCCTGATTCTGCCCTCAAGCTACAAGCAGGCTGAAGTTCTTATTGTAATGTATCTGTGGACCATGTTATTTTAGGTAGGGATATTTCTAGGTAAGCAAGGATACCTTTTCTTATTGGACGCTTCCTCTCTTCTCTTTCTTTATAGCAGGGGTGGGAAATCTTTTTTGCGTTGGGGGTCGCTGACCCACAGAAAAATCAGTCAGGGGCCGCACACAAGTGAGAGAAAAAAACCCCACCCTGACGTGGCCCCTGAGAAGGAGAAAGAAACGGTCCACATGCCTCTTGCACGCCAGAGCCTAGGGGGGCCCAGACTAGTAGATTTTGTGTGCTCTAGCCCCATGGGGGACAGTCAGGGAGGAGGGGCTGGAGCACCAGCACAGGCTCCCCAATGCTGTGGAAGCCAGATCCAGGCAAAATGGGGACCACATCCAGCCCCCAGGCCTTAGATTTCCCATCCCTGCTTTGTAGGACATTGCTTTTAAATATTTGAGCGGTCTTTCACAAAGCCCCATATGAAAAACGTATTTCATACAGTCTTTTCCAGGAATTGTCTATGCCTTAATTGTGGTGTTTTTTTAGAATTGTCCTGATGGACTTTTACAGTGGTGAATTTTAATATACGACATTGCATGTTAGATTTTTAAAAAGTACACTCACTTTTGCTTTCCTTGAATCCAGTACCCTTGTCACTTAATTACTTTGTGGTAATTCCTTACAATGCCATATCCAAATAGCTCTTCATCATGGGATCCAAACTTTCCTATAATTCCAAGTTGTCAGTTCATATTGCAAAAAAGGAATTCTCTGATGACCTTGCCTCTCCTTCAAGTCTTTACAATCCTGTATTATATAGCTACTCAGAAAACTCTTCTTTAAAAGTCTGATAATTAATACAGAGAATGGTGGAGATATTTTTTTATCTACAGTTGATGGTAGCATTTTTCTCAAATGTTTTATGGCAAAGCAAGGTGGTTATGAATAATTACAAACAGAACATCTTTTTTTGTTTTGGTTGGAACTCAGTTACAGTCAAAATTAAATGTATATGGATGAACCTCTTTTCATTAAGAGATTTCCTCAACATCATTATTTTATTTTAGGAGCTGAAGAAGATGAAGATAGCTCAGTGACAGAAACATCTAGAATACTTCCAAAGATACCATCAACTAGTGATGCGCCGAAAGCTGAGACAACTACACTGAAAACACAGACCAAGATACCTGCACAAACAAAGGTTTGTGGACAGTTACTATTTACTGCAGTATTATAATATTTTTAAAATAGATTTAATAAAACATAATTCTGTATGGGACAGACAAAGCCCGACCTCCCTGCTGGAGACCTTTCAGCACCCTGGCCAGCACCAAGAGCAGTAGAGAGGTCCTCTCAGCAAGGTAGAGGGGCAGCCTTCACAATAGCCAGTCAGGATGCGGCAGGCTGCTGTATAGGGAGCTGCTAGGTAAGGCCTGTCAGTTCCTTCCTGGAGCTCAACTCAGGCAGACCCTCTGGGCTGGATGGGGAACACCAGAAACTTGGACAGTTCCATAACTGAGCAGAGCTAGATCCTGTGGCTAAAGGCTAGTCAATGACAACTTTGCAGAACCCCAGACAAGGGGAATTCAGCAACAAGGCCCTCGAGAAGGGCTGGATGAAATGGTGCCCCAGGGAAGTGGCCCAGGGACATGACTGCAATTATGGACTTTGAAACTTGGCAGGTAACTGCTACGTATAGGGTCCCTGGGCTAGGACCCAGAGGAGTGGGTGGGCCTGGATGCCCCTTTCCCCAATCCTCCCTGCAAACTACCCCCGAGTAAGGGGGTTAAAGAAGAGGCCTGAACCCCAGCCATGGACTGGACATTGACTCACCCGCAGACAGGCGAGTACATATTGTGAGACACCCCCCCCCTTCAGCCACCAAGGGGCACTCACACACAGGACTGAACCTGTTACAATGCCTTAAAAGATTATTTGAAAATACACTTAGTGAAAGTCTGCACCTATAATAATCATACAAACCTAACCTTGTATTATTATACGCTATGAAATTAAATGTAGAACTGGCCATAGAGCTTTTAATTCCCTGTGTAGAACCAATGTACTAACTCTAAATTTTAGTTCTAAGACAAGAGCATCAAGGCCAGGAGAGCACAGCTTCTCATGAACACATAATATGTAAACACAAAATACAATCTTAACCCTTCATTATGTCTCAAAAGAGCTGCTAAATAAGGACTGTATTAAGCTGCCTCCCCATACTCAGTTCTAAAAGGGCTAATTGTGTGTGTGTTTTTGGTATGTCATGCTTTTCTCCAGGTTTCTCTTAAGGAAAATATCATCCTTAAAATTCAAATATGGTATTTTACAATGCTTACTGTGTCATTGACCAGTTCCATTGGCACATAGATAGAAAACAGTGTAAGTAACAATGATTAAAAGAATAATTGACAGGCATTCATATCACAGAATTACTATTAGAAAAGTCTTGAACTCTCTCTTCAAAGTTCTTTTCAACTTTGCGTTAAGGTACTTGTTGACTATCGGTCTCGTGCTGGTATTTAGCCTTAGATGGAGTTTATGACCTGCTTTGGGCTACATTCCCAAGCAACCCGACTCCGAGAAGACCTGGTCCTGGCGCGATGGGGGCTGCTACCGGCCTCACACCGTCCACGGGCTGTGCCTCGATCAGAAGAGAGTTCAAGCCTTCTGATCTAGGCATAGCCCGTGGATGGTGTGAGGCTGGTAGCGGCCCCTGGCACACCAGGACCGGGTCTTCTCGGAGTTGGGTTGCTTGGGAATGCAGCCCAAAGCGGGTCGTAAACTCCATCTATTATAAAAGTGAGACTCATGCTGACAGACTTACCAGGATTGAATGCTTATGATAAGAATTGCTCTTTTGTGCTTGGAGATTCTCTTTTAGGTAAGAGGCTTGATGGCTGTATGCTATGGGGAAAATGTGCTGCTTCTGCCTATGAAATACATATTCTGTAGTGGGAGAGTCAGCATTGATCAACATTTTCCAAACTGTCTATTGTTTCTTGGGTGCCTAACTTGATACCTTGAAGAGGGTCTGATTTATAGAGGGCAAGTACTCTGCAAATCAGACCCTTTTCAAGTTATGACTAGTCACTTTTGAACATCTTTTTCTTTGGTTGTTTACATACAGACTATATTTATTACTCTTTTTATATAGAGGGAGAAAGTTTGGACATGCTGAATCCAGTGCTTATTAAACTATGGGAAGAAGCTTTAAGTAAGACTGATCACATGTACAGCTTTTAGGAAAGCAGCTAAGTAACCAGTTCAGATAGTTTCTATACACTGAAAAGATTTTGCTTATGTCTTTGGGTGTGTCTAGACTACCTAGTTTGTCGACAAAAGTGGACTTTTGTCGACAAAACTATACCAGCGTCTACACTACCGCTGAGTTCTGTCGACATAACGTTGACAGAACTCAGCAGTTTTGTCGACGCTGGTATACCTCATTTTACGAGGCATAACACCTTCTGTCGACAGAACTCTGTCGACAGAAGGTGTTATTGCCTGTAACATTGCGTCCAGACTACGGAGTTCTGTCGACAAAGCAGCTTGCTTTGTCGACAGAACTCAATGTGTCTGGACGCTCTTTGTCGACGGAAGTTTTGTCGCCAGTATCTGTCGACAAAACTTCCGTCGACAAAACGCGGTAGTCTAGACGTACCCTTAATAGCTTACTGCTGTGCCTGGATGTTTTGAGTATGGATAATTAAATTTTAAAAATATTCAGAGCAATGTGGAAAATACCCTTAGCCTATGTCTAGATTGCAAGCTTCTTTTGGAAGAACCTTTTTTCGGAAGAGATCTTCTGAAAAAACTTCTTCTGAAAGAGAGCGTCCACACACAAAAGCACATCAAAAAAGCAATCTCCTTTTTTGAAAGATAGCATCCAGAGTGAATGGACGTTATCTCTCATTTAAGCTGTGATTACTATGGACAGAGTAGCCACTAGGGCACCTGTGCTTTTTCTCTTTCCTCTTTTTTCGAAAGAACTCCCTCTTTCCTGTCAACACACACCTTTTTCCAAAAGAGTTCTTTTAGAAAAAGGCTTCTTCCTTGTAGAAAGAGGAATACCAATGCTGGAAAAAACCCTCTATTCTTTTGATTTACTTTTGGAAGAACATGATTGCAGTGTGGACGTAACTCAGGTTTGTCGGCAAACCGATGTTTTTCCGACAAAACTCTGTAGTGTAGACATACCCTTAGAAAGCTGCACTTAATATTAAAATAGTATTATTGATGTTGAGACTGGGTGATGTAGACAAAAGCAGGGAAGGGAGAGATGGAGCTGTGAAGAGACTCAGAGTACAGGGCCAGAAACTTGATCTTCCTTTATTAATGTATAAATGTGGACTAGAGAAGACTGATTTTTATATGCTGCTGTTTCAGGTTATAGCGCCATTCCAAAGACAGACTAGCAGACAGACTTTTACATCTGAGGGAAAGATTAATTTCCTCCCCTATCACTCAATGAAAACGTAATGGCTTCCACTGAATGCAGCAGAGAGTTCAGTACTACTAATTATTAGGAGTTGAGCAGTGTTCCCTGTAAACTGAGCGCTTGGGTGGCCACCCAGAAGAGATTTAAATGCTGTCCAGCTGATTAGCAGAACACCCACAGTGCCCAGTCAGCACATGCCTCAGTGCACATAAAATGTATTCTTCTACACATGGATGGAAAAATGAGAGGGAACATTGGAGTTGAGCACAGGCTGTCCCCGGGTTACATGGGTCCGACTTAAGCCGGACCCCTAGTTACGAACCGGGGGGGGGCCCGTTAGTGCGGGGTGCCTCCCCCACTGTCGCTGCCTCTGGCGGCACGGGGGGCACTTACCCCCAGCAGACCAGGGTGACGCGGAGCTAGCGACCCCCCCCTGCCAGGCGACGTGCG